TTATTTTAGAGATAAATTTGAGAGTTATGCTTTTTCTTGTGTAAATGGGCTTTCAACAACAGGCTTCAACTGCCCTTGCCATTCCGTGAATGCATTTTCAGCACACAATGCCTTGTCAAAACTTCCAGCGATACCTTTTGCCATTACCATGTCGGTGCCTGTTGGGGAAAAACCACTAAAATAAATTTTAAGAAACCAAGCTTAAATCTCATGTCCATGCTGCCATTGTCCAACCTAAACCGCCCTCCAATTAATTCACTAGAATTTTTTCCATTAAGTTAAGAAATCAAAATCATAAATAAAAGTAAACTTATTTTGTTCATCAGAAACATAGAGAGATGGATCAAAAAGAATTTTTGAAAAAAAAAATACTAAATATTTTGAAAAATTAAGAAATTACCTAAAATTTCATTTCTTTACACTAATAAAATAATAATTCAAAATTCTAAGAGTCAAGATAGAATGAGACCCAATGGTCAAGAAAGAAAAGAAGAGTGGTAGTGGAGATGAGAGAAATGGTAGAAAAAGAAAACAAGATAAGTTTAGAGATTTAAATAGTATATATAAAATAATTTTGGTTGACTTGATATTTATTAATTTAAAAATTCTTAATTTATGATAAAATTGGATATTCAAATTTATGTAATAATAAGTAACTAACTATTCAATATACTAAAAAATGATAAAAATAAAAAATAAAAAGAATTAACTCAATACCATCTAACAAACGAAGAGCTCCTTTTAGCAAAACCAACAATTTTGTTTGCTGTGTCGTCGTCTACCACATCACCAATCTTCCGTTTTGGCATGGAAGGTTCCATACCTTGGCAAGGTAAGGCAACACCCACCCCTAAACGAAGACATCGACATGGCATCAAAACTCACATAGGCAGAAGGGGAGATTGTTAAGGCACATCCGGCCACCGGATGCAGTTAACCACGAGCGTTTTTTGCTAGTCCTAATAGATGAGCTACTCATTTGCCACGAAAAAAAGGTTGAGGGGCTTCCCACCATTTTGGGTAGAAGTCTTTGTCTAACTTACCCAAATTTCTAAAAGTGGAAATTACTCAGTGACAGAAGCATCCGCTCAGTCGACCACTAATTGATTCCGTTGTCTGGGGATCAACCACGGTTACTTCTAAATTTATGTAAACTATATCTGTTTTTGTTTCTTCTGATGGTAGGGAATTTGAAAAAAAAATTGAGTATAAAACTCAAGTTTTAAGTGTTTAAATACTTTTCGCACTTATGGGCCATTTTTTATTGAGTAATGATAGAGGGAACGAAATCGGAGGACGAAATGGGAGATGACAAGTGATGCAAAATTTATGCATGTGGTGTAATTATTAATTTGACCTCTTTGCATCACTTGTTGTCCCTCATTCTGTCCCTGATTTCGTCCCCTGCATCATTACTCTTTTTTATTTTACCAAATGATTTTAATTTAAAACTATATCTGTTTTTATTATGATGCCTCATTAGGTATAATTTTTACTAAATGATTTAATTGTACTGAAAATATAGAAATCGATTGGGTAAACTTTAATTGTAATTAAAAAAAAAAGATTATAAGAAACAAATATGATGAGGACAAATTAAGTAGTTTAGTCCGTCTCTCCATAAAAAAATAAAAATAAAATTTAAGTTTGAGTTTGCATCTAGGTGAGGTGGGGCAATTTATTGTGAAATTTAAAATAAAAAAATAAATGCACTAACAATCATGATATAAATTAAAACTATTTTTTATACTTTTAATAAAAAATGTCCTAAAAATCATTACTTAATTATTGATCTTATCCTCTGACCTCATAAAAGACTATGTTGAGGTTTTGAGAATTAATTTCACAAAAAAAAAATTATATAATTTAAAATATACTGAATTATACAATAAAATTTAAATGTAAAAATTTGAGTCATTTCTTCTTATTATATCTCTCACCACTTAATTTTGTTTTTTTCTCTCACTTCATTCTTCACACTATGTTTACCATTTTGAGCTCTAATAGTGTGTTTTAGAGGTATTGTGATCAAAGTTGTCAATATCATATTGGCATGTGTATCGATTTTATTATTATAACGGTATGTATCGAATGCCAAAATTTTTTACGTATCGTTTTGGATTTAGCGCTATAAATATATATTTTTATAAATTAAATATCAAATTTTAAAATAATATAAGAGATACTAATATTTAAAACCATCATATTTTTATAAATTGAAAACAAGTTTAAAATGATTATTTTTAATCCCTCAACTTTTAAATTTGAATTGAGTTGTACGGATAATTTTTGTGTATTAATATCTGAAATTGCAATAGCAGGGTATTAAGAAGCCCCTCGCCTATAATGACATTGTTTTGGGTTAGGGAATCTTTTTTTTTTTTTTTAATTTGTTAGTGTGTATCGATTGAAATTTTTGTGAACCAGTTGACACATCAAAATTTTAGTCGGTATACCAAATTTTGACTAAATCAATCGAATTTTGACCAAAATAAATTTTCATATTATATCATTTCGGTCAATGTAAAAAATCGATATGTACCTACCATACCGACCGGTATGATACAAAATTAACTCCCTTGATTGTGATCCTCATACTTCACATTGTGCTTACTGTTTTGACTCCATAAAAGAGCTCTAATAATATGTTAGCTATTTTAGGAGTATTGTGGTCTTTTACCTTAAACCCATGTTCCTAAATCTTACATCCCTCTTTCCATCTAAAATGTTTTCATTTTACCCCTTTAACTTCCCTTCTGCATTTTGAAATTGTAAAGTACAAAATAATTGTTCACTTATTACCCCCTTCTTCTTCAGCAAGAGATAGAACTGGTAATTTGACTTGTTTATTTTTTTAGTTTTTTTTTTTTTTTTGGTAAAATATTTTTTTTAGTTATTGAATAAAAGATAAGAGTCTAATATTTGGAGGCAATTCCCATCTAACGTCTCTATTTCCCGGTACGATACAACTCAGTCAGCAAAGGCAACTCAAAAGCAAATCATGGTTGAAATGGAAATCAGCATCATCCACCAAAATCGAGAATTTCTTCTTTTCTTCTTTTTTGCCCACTTGATCTGAATTTTGTCATTTATTAATTATTACTGTTTCCGAAAGATTTCGAATTTCTCAGATTTCGAGGTAGCTGGGTCCTCCCCAGAACCAGCAAAACACTGGAAATTGGGACCCAGGAAAACAAACTGACCGGAGCCTCAGACTCCCCACAATCTGTCCCGAACGCGTCCTTCTCTTTCCTTTGCAGCTCCGCTTTCCCATGTGACTGAACAGACTGATTCTGCTCTCACTTTCTAAAGCAGACATTTTTATTATCAATTTCCTCAATCAACGAAGGCAAAGCTACCCATTACCCCAGATACAGCTCGGGTCGGAGGGAGAGATCCGATGCTACCCGGTGTGCCGTTTTCTTGCCTCTTCTTCTTCCTTCCACTTGTGTGGTTGCTGCCTGGTTCTTTGGCTGGTGACCCATATGTCTTCTTTGACTGGACTGTCTCCTATGTCTCAGCTTCCCCTCTCGGAGTCAAGCAACAGGTGTTTTTTTTTTGAATCTTTTCTCTTCTCTTTCTCACAATTCTGTTCTGTCTACATTCATTTATTATCAATTTTGGGATTGTGTTGTGTAATACATGTAGTTTTGTTTGCCTTTAGATTTGAAAATCAAACCCCATAATTTGTTAGTTTGGGATTGAATCAATCATGTTTATGAACAGGTTATGGGAAGTGTTTCTGAATCTAATTGTGACTACAGGATCTGATTATTATTCACTGGCCAACACTAGTAATTATGAGTATATTGATCTTGAAGATTTGAGGTCCCAGCACTTATTGCTAGTAAACCACTGACTGTACTTGTCTGAGATTAGCTACACCAAGTCACCGACATTGAATTTTCATTGAGAATCTTTTTTTTTTTGAAAAGCATTCATTGAGAATCAATTAACTTTACCTGAATTTCAAAATGGTAGCTTTTATTTCTAACAAAATAATGTCTGCTGAATTTTAAAGTCACATTGACAGGGCAAGTTACTACTCACTAGCGTAGTAGTGTAAAATAATCTTATTGTGCTGATTTTATGCTTTTCGTTTTGCAGAACTGTTTACATTGAGTTGAATGTTAGTTCAGTTTTTTCTTTTTGCTCTTATAATGTTGGAATCCATATGCTAATCCATGTTGTTCCAAACTTTTCTGCTAATATATTGCTATCATCTTTCCCATCTTTTTAACAAATGCTATGAGTTGTGACAAGTTAAGCTGAAGCTTGGCCCCTGAGATTAGTTAATATTGAGGGTTCTTTGCTCCTTTTGTTTCTACCAATATCTTGCATAATGAAGTTGTTGTTTGTTTTTTTTTTTTTGTCATCCATGATTGATGGCAAACAAACTAATAACTTGAGACTCCTCAGCATAATTGGAATCTTCAATTTAAAGTCTCAAGTTACTAATAACTTGAGACTCCTCAACATCGATATCATATTAACTCTGTTCATGCTGATTAGTCAATATTAGGGGTTCTTTGCTCCTGTTCATCCATGATTGATATGTTAGCAATTTTTGCCACAAAGTGCTAATTCAATTTGATCATTGGTCTTTTCCATCAATATTAATTATTGTTCAGGTGATTGGAGTTAATGGGAAATTTCCCGGTCCAGTACTCAACCTCACTACAAATTGGAATGTTGTTGTCAATGTCAAGAATGATCTTGATGAGCCATTGCTGATTACATGGTAAAATATTATCTATTGAAACAATAATTAGGAAAAAAAATTTGAAAGTAAATAAACGTGTGATATCTAGTTTTGATATTCCTTTTTTTTTTTTTCCCGGTGTTGATATTACTCCTTTAATGTAGGAATGGCGTACAACATAGGAAAAACTCTTGGCAAGATGGTGTTTCAGGTACTAATTGTCCAATTCCTGCTGGTTGGAACTGGACATATCAGTTTCAGGTCAAAGATCAAATTGGGAGTTTCTTTTACTTCCCTTCCCTTAGTTTCCAGAGAGCTGCTGGTGGGTATGGGGGAATCATCATTAACAACAGAGAAGTCATTCCATTACCATTTGGATTGCCCGATGGTGATGTTCACATCTTTATAGGTGATTGGTACAGTAAGAGTCATAAGGTTTGTAAAAATTTAATTTTGCTCAATCCTTTTGGGGTGTAAAAGCTATTCTAGTTGATGTGGGGTACTAAATAATGCCTTTGTGGAAGCAGGAACTAAGAAAAGATGTTGAGAATGGAGCTGACCTTGGAGTTCCTGATGGCATCCTTATTAATGGGTTTGGCCCATATCGTTATGATCAGGCACTTATTCCAGATGGGATTACTTACCAGATTATAAATGTAGAACCAGGTAAGGATTAGAAGTTACCTGTGATGCTTAGTTTGCAGCAGTATATTATTGTTCTTTGAAGAATGAAATTTTACCATATTTTATGCTTTTCTTCTAGAGTCATGATACTCATATATCTTTATTTTTATATTTATTCAATGTTTTTGTATCAGATGGTAATATATCACTTAAATAAATGCTGAAACATCACCCTATGTTGTTCCATCCTGAAAAAACAGTTGCCTCCCAATGATAAGTGAGAGTTTAAAATGCTGAAGTACAATGTTCTTCTTTTTTGTTTGGGTCCTCCTGTGTGTCTCAAATTGCCATGTCAGACTCTTAAGATTCCCATGCTTTTACTACTTGTGTTTGAGATTTTATGAAGCTGTAAAGGAATTCAACTAAATCTTCTTGGATAACTTGAAATTAATGTATGGTGTTACATTTTGGTGAAGTATCATCTAGTTTTTCTTTAAATTATCTTTTTAGTGCCTATGGTTGGTTTCTACATGAAAACTTAATTATAAATAAGCATGAAACATCTATGCTAATATCGTAAAATTGTAAATCTGTCTGTGTAGCTTTGTTCTAATACCTAGATTTGTCAGAGATTGACCCCTATGTTGTATAAGAACACATTGCTTATGTTTGAGTTCACAAATCTCAGGGCCTACATGCCTAGCCAATATTGAATCCTTAGGGATATTTTACTCTTCTTCCAAGAGTATCCTAACCACTTTCTACCAGGCCATTATTGTCTACCTCTTTTTGATTTTAGAGTGCAATCATAATGCTTGAATAATATGATACCATGTTCCTTCTTTCGCTTCATGTTCAATGATTGGCATCTCACTTATATTTTATGTTATATTGGAAACAGGGAAAACATATCGCTTCAGAGTCCACAATGTTGGAATTTCAACCAGCTTAAATTTCAGAATTCAAAATCATAATCTGCTTCTTGTTGAGACTGAAGGATCGTACACAGCTCAGCAGAACTACTCAAACATGGATATTCATGTGGGTCAGTCATACTCATTCTTGGTCACAATGGATCAAAATGCTAGCACTGATTACTACATTGTAGCCAGTCCTCGATTTGTCAACTCGTCTGACTGGGCTAAAGTTACTGGAGTTGCGGTCTTGCACTACTCCAACTCTCAGGGACCTGCTTCAGGTCCTCTTCCCGATCCTCCTAATGATTATGACAAATATTTCTCAATGAATCAAGCAAGATCAATAAGGTTGTAGTTCATTATGTTATCTTTTTGGATCAATTAACATATTTTGTTAAGCTGCTCTAAGAACACAATAACCCTCCTAATTAAAATGGTTAGCAGTTGTGAATTTTAGGTTCTCATGAATGTACGTTGACTCTTCTTTGCACCCTCATTGTGGTGGTGCTCTTATAGGTGGAATGTCTCTGCTGGTGCTGCACGTCCAAACCCACAAGGATCTTTTAAATATGGTCAGATTACCGTGACTGATGTGTATGTGATCCAGAATAGGCCTCCAGAGCTTATAGACGGAAAGTTGCGTACTACACTTAATGGTATTTCGTACTTACCACCTACAACACCCTTAATGCTTGCCCAGCAGTTTAAAATTCCTGGGGTCTACAAGTTTGACTTTCCAAATAAGCTGATGAGCAGACCTCCCAAATTGGATACATCTTTAATTAATGGTACTTTCAAAGGTTTTATGGAAATAATCTTTCAGAACAATGATACAACAGTTCAAAGTTACCATCTAGATGGCTATGCATTCTTTGTTGTGGGGTGAGTTTTGTTAGCCTTTGATATGCTTATCTTTCTATATAACTTATAGTTAGATTTGAACTCGGAAGACATGAATTTGATGGTTTCTTATGGCTATTGCAGTATGGATTTTGGGGTGTGGACAGAGAATAGCAGAGGCACGTACAACAAGTGGGATGGTGTTGCTCGCTGCACCACACAGGTAATCCTGTCACATAACCTTCATACTAAGGGGTTTTGTTATACTGTGCCTAAATAATAAACCAAAAGAAAATACTAACTAAAAGGAAATTGAAGAGCAGTTTGTAATAAAGTACATCAAGGTAAGGGCATTTTTACATATTTAAGATCTCATCTCTGAACGACCAAAATCTTGACTTTTTTCTTGATACAGGTCTTCCCTGGAGCTTGGACTGCCATCTTAGTTTCTCTTGATAATGCTGGCATCTGGAATCTCCGTGCACAGAATCTTGATTCATGGTATCTAGGCCAAGAAGTTTACTTGGGTGTTGTAAATCCAGAGATTGATGCAACAGAGGTTCCTTTACCTGACAATGCCATTTATTGTGGTCTACTTTCAGCATTACAGAAGTAAGATCTCATATACAAAATACATTTGTAGGTTGTAATATTTATCTACTATAATTTTTTGGCCCTTGGAGAAATGACTCTTTAAATTCTAAGATTTTACCTTTGCAAATGATATCCTTCTTATGTATCTTCACCACGCTACTGCAGGAACCAGGCTCAGAGAATTGACTTTTCTGGTGCAGAATCAATTCCTGATGTCAGCAAAACAATTTTCTTTCTGTTAATCTTTTCCTTGATTGGAACTTTAGTCAGGTAACCAAGGCGGGGAAACCTCACCTACACTCTATTATTCACCAAATGGAATAAATGTCTACTGTCTGAGGAACAAGTTGTCATTATGGATCCCACGGCATTAGTTTCATCTTCATGGGAACAAAATCATGGACTGAAGGTAGCATCTTCAATCTTTTCCCTAGAAAATCTTGTACCATTGTGAGTGATTAGGTATTTTTGTGCATTGGCTCTGTGCAATCTCCTTGTCAGTGAAATATTTAAAGTAGAAAGTTGATTAGAAGTGAGCCACTAACTGTACAGTGTGGAAGCCCTTAACTTTTTCTTTCTGATTTTGTTGTAAGGTGTCTTCAATTCATCTTTGATTTTGTTGTTATACTTTGTCCTATTGAAACGTAATTTATAGTTCTCTGTTATAATTGCTCCACTGGAATTTAATGTTAGTTTCATTGTTGTCTGACGAGGTGAAGTTATAACTTTTGACATAAGTGTTAAGTCTGGTGGACCATGTCTCTCTCGTGTAGCAGGAACGAAAGCATGAGAATGGGAGGGTAGAGTTTTAAGATTTAATAGAGTTTGATTTGGATAATTGAGAGTTTAGGTAGAGTTTAATAGTTATGTTTGGTTGGAAGAAATGAATACTATGGTACCAGGGAAGCAGTGCAGAAGCCTGTTTTAGAACCTCCAACAAACGTGCAGCTTCAAAAATGGTCATGTTTGGGTTGAAAGACAGTGAAGGTCTTAACCGGATGATTAAATTCATCGCATTTCCACTAACTTAGAATCTGGCCATCTGGGTCTCTCTGGCCCTTTCTATCATGTTGAGCAGTATATGAAATACATATGTTTCTCCTTTTTCTTATTTTAGTAGAGAACAGGAGGAGAAGAATGAAGGCCAGGGGAGAAGGAGGAAGGTAGGAATACTACGGGAGAACTTGATTCAAGTTCTAGCTTTTTCTGCGTCTACCTATTGTCTTCCCAGAAGTCATCCAGGGATGATCCAAATAGCAGGCGAATGGAGGCTCAAAGCTAGGAAGGATTTCTCCTCCTGCCCCACTAGTAATTTTTAAGTGGAATCCGGCCAAATGAAAAAACACAACAATTATTTAGGTGGTCTATGAAATTAATTTGCAAGCTGCTTTCGGTGCCATAGAATATGCAAATTCATGGTGTAACATGCACCTAACATTTTTCTTCTTTGCTATCACTTCGTCTCAAAGTAGTCCCGAGCCTTTTGAAGATTCCCCCACCATTGGTCTTTTTATCAACTTGGGCATTAAACTGAGATTAAAGACTGGTGAATAATTGGACGGCACCTACTGGCATAATGGCCCCTTTAGGGAGAACCACTATATGATATGGAAGGGGAAAAAAAATAAAAAATACATGTCATAAAAGATAAATCTCATTCATTTCTTAATTTCTTAATTTAACTTATATACAACTCACACTTAAAATTTTTTATTCTCATGGAAAGTAGGTTACATTCAACTCCCTGGGTGAGACTGCCCATGTTAGAAACTTATTAGAGACGGAAGGAGGAATTTGCCTTTTCAGAGTCTCTGACACTTTCAGACTTTTCAGAGTTTCATTTGCCCGCGTGTCCCATCCGAATTCGTCTTGATTCACTTACTGTTTGCATGTAAATAT